ACATTAAGAAGCGACACCCCCCATACCGGCGTCCATTACCGGATGTAAGGAGTTTTGACTGATGCTCTAATATGGTATCATGTATAATATCTGCTTGGGTCTTTAGCGTGATTGTGCCTTGGAATTCAGACTATGTTCTATGATGGCGAACAATGAGCTGAATCTTCTTTCATGATCATATTATTAGTTTCGAGGGCCATTCCTTGAGAAACAGTTGCCTGAATGTTTGAAAATCCTGATCTCGATGAAATAGTGAGTAGTATTTTATTTGGGGGTATTATGGTACCCAATATACAGTAAGATTATATCCTCCTTTTGGGTATAGTATTCTATACAAGGATTATAATCTTACTAGGTTCAACCACCAAAAACAGCTACTCTCGTGATGCTATTATGTTGCATCGCTTGGAGTTGCTACGTTTGGATTGGTATCATTGGCTTCACCTTGATATCTACAATTTGCGCTTGCTCCCTTGGATTCAGCAATATTGCTGGCGACCTGGCTGGTTCCTCCAGTATATTGCATGGGGAAGAGACAAACTATCTATTCCTTGATTTAAAGTGTAAAGAATTCAGCTAGCTAATTGTTTCTAAAATCATGAGCAAGTTTTTGTAGGATATCTTCATGAATAAGACAATCACCGACCGGAATGCCCCACTCAATCAACAACGCACTCTGGCAGAGCCAGGCTGCACCAGGGGGGTGGGGAAATTAGGGCAATTAATAACGAGAAGGTACTATTTTACAACCAGAACGTAATATCTAATTATTTACAACCCGGAACAGCAATTTCCAGGTCAAAACGTACAATCTACAATGGTTTCTTTATTGGGTCTCCCAGAAGGGACATTTTGCAACCATCATGAGTAGCTAGCCTAGGAGAAGCGAATACTTTTGGGATTGAGGGTTCGGGGGGTGTGTAGCTACGTCTGGGATAGTTATGACTTTATTGGTACTGTTGCAATAATATTTGCAAAGCAATGCCGTTACAGCTGTATCAACTAGTTTCAAGTTTAGTGCCAAGCGGGTCTTCAGCTGCAAGCCCTCAAAGTCGTTCCACTACTTCCCCTATAATACCTTGCTTGAGAATTAGGATTTCAGATGTAGCATCTCGGGCAATGTTTTTTAACCTCAAGAATTCAGACTTTGGTGGTTTCTAGTTACAGTTTCACTTCATCTTCCTTGAAACTTTGGCGGTTTCCAGTACTTGTTTTGGACAAGCCCGCTTCAGGCAAAACCTGAAGCCCCAACTCAGAACCCACGACAAAAATAGTTTCTCGAAGTCATCTTAATGGCAAAAAACCATCCTTATGGAATAGCAACATTTTCCCCAAGCCATCCTTATGGAAAATGAGCATTTCCCCCAATTCATCCTATGGAAAGTACCATTTCCTCAAGTCATCTATTACTGGGTTGCGTTAAGGAACTTAAATTAAGTTACTATATTGGGGAAACCCTATTATTTACTATGTATACCCATTATGGTAACTTAATTTAAGTTCCTTAACAGCAACCCAGATTAGTCTGGCCCAGAGTCGGCCTTCCGGACGTGTATCATGGCTGAAGTGAATTCTAAGGGCTTAGGCTTAGGACCCGCCCCGACATAAGTGCCCTAGCCCTGAAGGCACCCCGTCTGTGATATCATTTTCTGCATATTATCTCCCAAGGGCCCTCGTTCCAAACCCTCTTCTATGATATGTGCTAGAGTCTAAACTCCTTAAAGGGGGATTTTATGAGGGAGCATTCTAGGGGTCATTACAGGGGAATACTAAGGCTGTAAGACAAGGGGCTCATATGCATTATTCAAGGGCTGTAACATTACTTTTGCATGGCATCCCCCAGGGCCTCTTTTCCATAATCCTCTTTTCTAATGTAGTATCCCCCAAGAGTACCCTTTTCCAGCCCTCTTCTCTAACATTATTTTGGCATGGTATCCCCCAAGGCCCCTTTACCATCCTTTACCTTTACCCTATCCATGCATAGTATTCCCCAACGGCCCCTTTTTCCATAGCCTTCTTCAATGTTTTTTTGTTTTTGGTTGGCGACCTAAGGATGTACATTTTGCAGCCAACATACTTGTTTGAACAACTTGGTTGTCCCACAGGCCATCCAGATTCCGACATATCGTTGGACCCTATTACAACATAAGCAAGATCATCGTCTGGTTGTTTCTTGCGCAATCTGGAAAAAGTACCGGTTGCAAATGGTTGCAAATCGTACGATCTGGTTGTAAATGGTACCGCGTCCGGGGGGGGTGGCTGGCAACCCTACAGCGCAGCGAGCTCTTTCAGCGAAGCTTACGGCAACAGCCCGAGCCGGCGCACAAATGGTCGTTGCCCGATTTAAGGATCAAACCACACCACACCCCAAGAGTTGTAAAGCCCAGGCCCTTACCCACAAACCCTTGCTTCCTAAAATCCTCAACCCTTGCATGGCTGGCTGCTGTTGGTGGAATATTTAAGGGGCTGCGCCTAGGGGCGGGTAATGCACGCAGGCAATGTGAAAAGAGAGAGTTTCCCGAGGGCTCGCGCCCGTGCCCCCCCGCACATTGCATGGAGATGAATGGAGAAACGAGCCCCCAACGATGTTGATGATGCTGGCGCAGGGGGCAAGCATCATCAGCATCATTGGGACTCCGTTTCTCCAATCTGAGGTCTTCCGGCACCTTCTCAAACCTTGAAAATTTGCTGGCCCGGCTTGGACGGGCCTCAGGGCTAGTTTTCCAAAACCTCTGTGCTCATGATATTTTTTGGGGTTTCCCCACAAATCCTTCAAAAATCACTCCGTAGTAAGGGTATCCGCTGCAAAAGCGCACATGAATTGTGGCTTGGTTTTGGAGAGGGGTCCGGGAGGGCCCCTTGGAACAGAGGTCCTTGTAGAGAGACAGACAAAGTACATCTCATGCCCAGGATGAGACTTCACGTGTAAGGCGTTCAGGCATGAAGAACTTGGAAAGGCATAGGAATGAGGAGAGTCCGCTCGCAAATCTGACTGCTCAAGAGCATAGCAAATTGCCCGGGAGTCAAACAACGGTGTAGCTATCAAGCCAACGCACCCTCAGGACGAGCCAGTCCGCGGACCACTCGACACTTCGGATTTCGAGTTCGAGAGGAGAAAAATCAATATCAAGGCACTCCGGGAGGTGCGCCCCCCCGGCCGAGGGATTCAGACTTGGGAACTTATCAAGGATGCTGTCCTGAGGAGCTGTGGCTCGAAGTTCTGCAACTTGGCTTCTTCAATCTCAAGCCTTGAATAACAGCACGTGATCGCAGTTGAGGCATTATTACCCCGAACAGCCAGTGGCCTAGCACGTGATGATACCGTAGTTGTGTTGGTCATTTTGCTGGCATGTGGCTCGGAGTATCTCTGCTGTGTAAGCCCAACAAAGCTGGTATGTGCATGCCTATACAATGTTGGGCATTTGGCCGAGATCTCTGCGCTTCTTCTGATAGGTCTTGAATATTCTAACAATGTCGGAGAGAAAGCGGACCACTAGAACCTTGCGCAGACATGTGTGCTTAGGCGGGAACGGTATTTGATGCAGCAGCTGCAGATGGGAGAAGAGTGCCCCGAAACATGAAGGGCCAGGCCTGCGCATGCCCACAGAGCCTGGTCGCTGCAGCGCAGGTACAATGTATCTTCTTATCGGCTACTGGCTCCTGGTGAGCATTGGCCCAAGCAACCAGACTTCCAGTTCTGGTTCGCAGCTGCAGTTTTAAGCCATTGCCATTTTGGAGCCATTGCTGTTTAACAGGCCACAGTATTCTTCGGATGAGGAGGAGGCAGGGCACCAAGTTACGCCAGCAGACTCGTGAAGAACTACGCATGTTAATGCAGTTTCTACTATCCATACGTACCTGCCATCCACGTGCCAGTCCAAATTGTCAACCTGCCATGCGTCATGCGTGTGGTAGGTGAAACAAGTGCAAGAATGGTAATACGCGGGATGCTCTTGATTGACAGTGCAGCTGCACAGGAGCAGGCGCCTCAATGAGTTTGTCTGCAGAGGGTGCTGCCGGAGTCCAGGACTTCTTGCTGCTGCGGCCCTTGTGGCTGTGGCTGTAGTGGGGGTAGCAGAACCGCTTCATTTGCCGCCTCTACAGCCATGCATGCAAAGAATGCCCCGCTTTCCAGGAGGTTTCCCTTGGCGGATGCAGGAGGCAAACATGGCAGTGCCAACTAGCTGCGAGTCAAGAATCAGCAATGCAAGCTTGCTTCACAGCATGTTGAAGCGTCAAGTCACAGGCCCCCTGAATAGGGGTATTATGCCAAGGGACACTGAATCATTTAATTTGTCTCCCTATCAAGGAAGATTTTGTGCTGCAGAGCACATCAGGCTCCCTGCTTGCGGAACCATGCATGACTAAGTCGGGACATGCCTGCTGTTGGCTCAAGCGTGTTGCGAACTTGCCCGATTGGAGAACCGTTGAACCTCCCATGCCATGTCTCCCCATGATGCAGCACCTGAATGCTCAAATGCCAAGCTGCCGCGGCCTTATCCTTCTTGCAAGAGGTCTTGGTATCTTTTGGGCGAGCCTCAGCCTATGGCTGAGGCCACAGCGAAGCGGCCTTGGCAACTGCGGGTTGACAGTGGCTCGGTGTCAGCATCCAGGGGTTTCATGCAACGTGCCCAAGAGACGTGCTTAGGTGGTGCGTATCTTTGGCGTGCTAGCGGCCTTGTATGTCTTCCTCTTTGGCCTGGACTTGATGGGCGTGTCCTTCAAGGCTGGAAGACGTCGGATCACTCCCAAACAGCAAGAAGCATGTTTTGCAGCACACAGGCTCTCGGAGGCAAGGGTGCTGGGAAGCTGTTCACAATCACGGAAAACCCAATCTCAGGCCTGCCTGCAAGTCTGTTAGTGGGGACAACGAGAATTCGTTTGCTGCCTCATGCTTAGTGGCTATGTTCGAGAGTTCACAGCACGGCTAGCTACATCTCAAAGTTTCTCCTTGCAAGTACAAGCCGTGTTATTGCGAGAACTTTTCGAAATGGCAGTGAGAACAGGGAAGCCTGTTGAATGCCTGAAGGAAGTCAAAATCGTCACCAATGCTCTTGCATGGCACAGTGTCAAGAAGCAGCAGAAGCAGACTAAGAAGGGGTAAGGATCTGTTTTTAGAGAGGGTGAGCTAATGCTTGCTGCCTCAAGCTTAAAGAGAGTTGGGGGATGGTTGCATGTCAGACAGTAGAACCATGGCCTGACCTTTTCAGGGCTCATGGTCGGCATCTTGGCGACAGTGTTGGTGCAGTCCTCATCAACTAGTGACCCGACAATACGAACAGCATGCTTGCTCTGATCATCCGGAGATTTGGCTGTTTGTGAAGGTACTTCGATCGTTGTGGGTCTAGTTGCTGCAGGGCAGCTCAGCGTCCACAATGCGTCGGGCTTGGATGCCCGTTTGACATGACAGATGACGTTAGACATCCCTGATCCCTTCAGGCCATTCCGATTGTGATGGGAGCTAACATAGGTGCGACTACGCTTTTCATTGGGCTTCCGCAATGGGACCCGGCACAGGCACGTCCGTGACCAACACGATTGCTGAGATCTCAGACACTTCAGATTTATGACATTTATGCCTGCTTTTTATTCAAGTCACCTCATGGCTTTAAGTACAAAGCAGTTCTGACGTTCAGAAGAAAGCTACAGGTCTCCATGGCGCATGTTGGCGAGCGCAAGGAGCTGGAGCGTGCGTTGCTTGGCCTTGCTATTACCCCCTATTGATCGAGGAGGTTTTGCTCATCAGAGCGAAACCATTGTGAAACCATTGTGACATGTCTTGCAACCGCAGGACCTCAAGAGTTACTTGCGATTCTCAGCAGAAGAATTCCAAGCTGCATGTGTAAGGTTTGGTGGTGCAACCGTGCACGACATGCCGCTCCGGCAGTGCTTTCTGTCGAGCTCTGACTGCTCTTCATCAGCTGAGTCTTCCTAGATGTCATGCTGCGATCCTGTTCCAGTTGGCCCTTACCTGTAAGTTGCGTGGAAATACACAACTGCTTCAATGTTACTGCAGTCGTCTTCAACAGTAGAACTTTGTTGAATGTGAAAGGATAAATTGCTGGGTCTGTCCTGTTGCCAGGTTTAACATGCTCAGCGTGATCACCCTGCTGCCGCTTGAGGCTTTCCCTGGATGTCTCCGTCAGCTGTCAGATTGATGTCGACATCATCCGTCACCATTGAAAAATCTGAAGAGTGTAAGGGCAGACAACAACATCTAGCAGCATCTGTCTGGCAGGTCATAGCAGGTGCCATCCAGGGCGAGGGAGGTCCTATCTACTGGCTGTCCATGGTGATGACAGAACTCCGGCATCAAAGGTATTGCTTTCCATTTCCAGATCACAGGTAGGCCAGTTGTGCCAATCTCATTCAGGACTCAGTTGTCAGCAAGTCGGAAGTCTCCTTCCCATCTCCAATCAAGGTGTCTGGGCTGCACGAAAGGTTTCAGGAAGGCAAGCAGGTTCGAGTGCAGCAGGCCATTGTCGACCCTATTGTTGACGTGTTCCTGCACCCTGACAAAAACGTGATCAAGGCTGGGCAAGATATCGGAGGAGATTTGCAATCTAGTTGGGTGGAATGCAGGCTTTGTCGCTCGGAGCTCCAGCCCCGGTCGCCAGCAACGCGAACGCATTAAGTGACAAACTGTTGATTGAGGCTTGCTTTCAAGTATGGTTTGCTTCGGCCGGGCAACTACAGCACAAAAAACCAAGCATTTGTTCGATGAAGAAGGCACTACTGCTATCAACCAGAGTTTAGCACGCGATCTGAGCGAGTTGAATATCGTGAAAGTGAGAAACTCGATGATGACAGCTTGAAGAGCTCTGTTTCAGGTTGCGACTCAGCCGAGTGTCACCTGGCGGAGTGACTTATGATACAACTTACACACAGTTGGAGCGGCATGTGTAGCATTGTTGTATGCTGAGGTCAGAATTACTTCTGTGTCAGCAGTGCGATGCACAAAGCCTGGGCCAAAGTGGACGAGGCTTTGCAGTTCTGCTGTGATTTATGGAAAGATCCGGCAGTTTCAGCCTTTGCCCAACTTCCAAGCTGTGGGTGCAAGATGGGGCCCTTCCTTAAACCTGACTTGGCAGGTTGCCTTGTCATCCTTGGCAACCTGTCCGCTGGAGCCCTGCCACCCAATCAAAGCATAACAGTTGCTGGTGCACAGCGGACCTCAGCTTGTGGATGGGCTTGCGAGGAGCTCTGCTCGGATGGCAAGTGCCTGCAAGATGCTGCCAGGTACGGGGCTGCCAGAGCCGTTTGCATGTCACTTTGCTTGAGCCTGTGCTGGGGTCAGGTTTTATGCAGAGCACATTGAGGAAGCCGAGATCATCCATGAAGGCGCTGACTGAGGGCTTACACAGCAGCTCTCAACGAAGGTGGCTCCTCCTTGTGCAGGCATTCTAAAGCCCATGGGTGATGTTGGCGGCGGTGCTTTGGCGTTGGTTTGGCTCCTCGCATGGAGGAGCTTGAAATTTTGCTAAGATTCCTGCACGTCTTACATGTCGGCTTGTCAAGCATAGCATGCAATGTTGCTGCTAAGTTCACTGCTGGCGATCTGCTTCGCCCTCTTTTTCCTTGTGAAGCTGCTGCATGCTATGGTGCTGGGCAAGGCGAAGGCGATGATCCTTCGAGCCTTGGGAGTAGTTTCGTGAGCAGCTCTTGAAATGCCAACATGCTTGGAGAGCACCTGACTCAGGAGCGACCTCGATGAATGACTATCTAGCAATGGGCGTGGGCATGATTCTGACCCTTGTCGTTCAGAGCTCGTCTGTGGCTTCTTGGATTCAAGAAGAAGCCGTCAGCTTGGCCAGCAGCATCAGCAGCAGCAGCAATGGCAGCGGCGGCAGATGAAGATAGAAGCAAAAGCAAGGGCAAACAACACCTTATTCAAGGCTGTTGCCGGCAGAGCTGTGATCACTTGGCAATGCACTGACGATGTGGAAGGACGATCAGTTCATGGTCGTGTACAGACTTTCAGCCTGAGGCAGAACCAAACCTCAAACCTGGCACAGCGGAAGGTGGCAGAACAAAGCTTGATTGTAAGCGCTAGCCCGAAAGCGAGTATTTGGAGGTCCAGAAAACGAGTGTGATTGGGGGGAAGAGTTTTTGAGGGACCCACAAAATTTTGGGGTGGGGGAGAGGGTAGGGAGAGGGCACTGTTCCAGACGCCTGTCGGCCAGAGGCCGAGGCGAATCTAAAGTTGGGCCATTGAGGCTCGGATGTCGTTCTTTAGCACGTCGTGCTTTTGTGTTCAACTTGTCAAAGGGTTCCAGGCAGTGTGTCGACTGGGACTCGAGGTCTTGTGAGATCCTGTGGGGCTCTTCGTTTGTATGGCAGCTCAGGTCACTTCAGCACTGACGCCACTCTGCGGCCTGGGCCTGATCACGGTCCGCGCCTGAGCTCGTGTCGAAGTCCCACCACCTTCCAAAGTTTGAAAAGGTTCGTGAGACCGCGTGAATATGTGTTTCAGCTGGAAGCAAGCATGCATTATCCTAAAACTTGCGCCAAAAGCATGATAAACTCTTCTAGACTGCTGGCTTGCGTCGGTGGTTGGGATTGCCTGACAGGAGCCAGCGTGCCACTCCTGTGAGGGTCCTTTGGGCCTTAGACTTGAGCTTCAACAATCTTGAAAACTCCTCGCATAAGATTTCTGTCCCAGTGTAGGGGAACCTCGTTCACCGCCAGTACCGCAACTGCTGCCCATTTGAAATTACGTGACGTCGGGTACCTTCTCATGCACTTCGCATCTCTTGCTGATTTGCCCGTGCTGCACCTGCTGCATCGTCTGTTCCCCCCCGGGCTGGGCGCAAGCTTTTACTAACGTTTTGGCTGGATCTTTTTGTTATGGCGGGTGCATCGCTACTGGCAGTGCTTAGCTGCGTTCACAGGGCTAGCGCATTCCCAAAGTTGTGTTGGAGTGGGGAGTGATTCCTCAGGGAGCTCTTAGCTTGCAGGACAGGTATAAGATATAAAATGATGACCATCTAGGAAAAGAAATGAAAAGGCGATTGCAGGAGTTCCGGCATGTCATCAGATTTAGTCGCCCGTAGCCTTTGGGCAGCTTTGGCAGTTTTGGCAGAGATCCAGTTTGCCTGTCAGGTGAACAAAATGCTGCCAACAACGTTGGGTGCCAACATTGGCACTACTTTCACGGCGCTGCTAGCAGCAATGGCCGAGCTGAAGCACGACGCTTGATACAAAGCAACCAGATTTCGGTAGCGACTCTGGTTGAATGAGCTCAGCTCTTCCTTTACTTGTGTGACGATGGTGGCATCCAGGATGGCCTGCAGATTGCCTTCTGTCATCAGCTCAGACGATATTTTTCCGTTTAGGCAGCTCGCAAAATCTTCCTTGTACGAAGTGGAAATGCCAGGCCACCTGCTCTTCAACATCTTTGGTATCTTGATCTGGCGTCTTGGCAATCTGTTCTATTCAAAACTTGGTTTTCTCAGTAGAGCTTCAACAGTTATCCACCCAGGTTCCCCACCCCGGCGATGCGAGACTTGGACTCGCACGGTAAGTGGTCCCATTTGGTTTCCTTCAAGCTCTGCAGTTGTGGGGTTTCCTAAGAGTCGATGCTGTTATTCTCCAGTGCTTGAATGCTGAGGGCGCATTGTGGTCGGTGCTGCACAGTTGCTGGGCTGCTTGGCACGATGATCAGATCCAGCAAGCCAAGCTTCGGTTGCTCGCCTCTTAAAACCTGAAAAGGCATGTGTTGCCTCCTCCAGGTTTTTATGCCTCGTACTGGCGGCTGGTGCCCTTGCTGTACATCGCCACAATGCTGCTTGTCAAGGTTTTCATGTCTGAGAGATTGTTCTGGACGAAGCCATGAGAGGCATTATCTGAGTCTTTAGAGTGATTAGCAGCACAGAGCCGCAGCACGCGTGGGCTGCCAAGGTTCCTACTGGTGCCAGGCCCCTGCCCATTGGCAAGCTTGGTTGTTTCTGGGGTTTTGCTGGCTATGACATGACGACGTTGATTCCAGTGCACCCGGGAGATCTCATGAGCTGATCAGCTGCCGGTCATGTTGACCCATACCTGCAGCACCGTCCGCAGGCGTTGCTTTGGGTATCTCACTTCTCTTCGGTGCCTCCGTGGCTGCTGGCATTGCCACGTTGGTGGCGGCCGGCTGGCTTCAAGTGTAACAAAGCTGGCCAGCAATGTCAGCCACGCATTGACTGCACCAGGCCATCATTGGCCTCACAGCTTTCTTGCTGTGGTGGAACATGGGTGGCTGCTACCGCGTGGCTTGGACAACACACAGCTCAAGAACTTATGTGAAAAACAGTGTCATGCTTTTGATCTGTTGACTGGGAAGCATCCTGACGATCTTTCACAGAGGTTGTATCTCTGACTGAAAGGGAGGCTCGCGAGGCAGAGCTAAAGGCAGAAGAGCAGCAGGCCGGCAAAAGGAAGCGCAAGGGATGTGCTGTGCCGACGGTCGTGTTATGACAGTCTGTGCAACATGCTAGAAGGCTGCGGAGATCAATGCAGCAGCCGAAGTCTTGGACGGCGTTGCCGTGTGAGGTGAAACTGTGGCATGCATGTGCAACAGCCAATGCTTAGCCCAGCAGTGAGCCCACAACAATTAAAAAAGCAAATCTACTCTGGCCTCGCTACAGAGCGGCGCTGGATGACGGTACCTGCTACAAGAAAATAGTCATCCAAATCTGTGCAGACAATTTTAAGCTTGAAGTTTAGCATGGGACCATTCTGTTTCAGAGTTGCGAGATTCTTGTGGCGGGTTTCGACATACATTCAGTCTGAGCCTGTCTGGAGCTCTCTCCCGTCAAGCGGAAGTCTGCAATGCAGGATCTCGGGAAGGCCCACGATAACGATCCGAGATTTTCCCCGTCCCCCTGGGGCTTAGCCACCTTGCCTGCGCCTGTGATACCAAAGCCAGCTCTAGGAATTTCAAGATGACTCCATTTTTGCTTGTTAAGCGACTGGATTTGGGACATGGAAGCGCACAGGGACTTTTGATGGGCTTGGTCCACATTGTCGTTTGCCGTGGACCAGCCCCTCTCCAAATTGCATGGGCTGCAGACATTTACGATCATTTACGGATGCTGCAGTGACAGTTTCAAGGCGCATTCCACAAGCACAGTGCGCTTGCACTTTCCCCAGGTGTGCCGCCTGGTGCGAATGCAGGAAAATCGCGCTTGCATTTGCCAGCGTGTTCTACCCATGCGCCAAATTCAGCCACGCTGATACGGAACACCTCTGCCATGATGTCCTTGTGCTGTCTCCACAGCCTGCAGGCCGGCGTGAGAACCTTCAGGATGTCTCACCAAGCCACACGTGGCTACTCGGCGAGAAAGCTATAGGAGGCTGGCGCCCCGCAAATCCAAAAGCTCAACCAACAGACTCAACAGCCATGGCAGCCTGAGCTTTGTGTCGATCGATTGTAGTTCTGGACCGAGGGAGAAACTTTTGTGCTAGGATGACCCGATGTTGAAAGGACGGAGCATTTGCTTAGCTTGAAATGGTCCAGAAAGCTTCATTGAACCGGGGGCAGCTCAGGGTCGCCGAGTCGCAAGAACGGGCCTTTCATCCCAGCATGTTTTAATTCTGAAGTGGTGTCAACTACCTTCGAATGCACCCTGGCAGCTCTCGGAAAGGTGGCCATCAGAGATTGCAAAAAGAGGTGACGCCAAGAGACCTCGCCACTGTGTGGGATGCGTTTGGTGACTTCTAAGTTCATAGTGCTTTTGTTGGAGTAGTCGTGCGCGCTTCTTTGTCATTTCCTGAAGCGCCGAGCCATGACACGCCATGACACACTAAGCGTCATGCTTTGCACCTCTCCCAGAAGAACAGCCTCTGGTGCCAGTGACCGGACACATTCAGCAGGAGACTGCTCGCAAGCTCCTAGTGCGGCCATGGCCCAAGCGGCGCATGGAGTTCAACCAGGCTTTCGACTGGGAAGAGCTCGAAAACGTGGAGGTAGGGTGCCAGCGTGCAATGAAGCAATCTCCAGCATGTCCATCTCTCCAGGCACGCCTAGCGCCCAAAGAGCCGAAGCAGTCCAAAGAGTCTGCACTGCGCGGCGGTTTGCGCTTGGCACGGCCACAGTGGAGCCAAAGCGAGCAGCACGGCAAGAATTAGGGCAAGGATTAGACAGTGATCCAATACACGGTATTTGCACCTTGCAGCCTCATACGCATCCTGGCTTGTAAGGCTTCTTGCGGCAGAGCGCAAACTCTTGGGAATTGGGATCCGCGATCCCAAAGCTTTGACGGCTGCCCTAGTAGAGGTGGTGCCACGAGGGTGAATGCTTCCAAAGGATCTCCTCTGTAAAGACCGCTTTGTCTCTTGATGTGTAGCACGCCATCTACACTCAGCAGATGCCCCAACTTCAATCCTATCTAAGAGCAGGCACCGCAACCTGGTGCCAGGTGACATCAGGAGGCCCACGGATAAATCAGCTGCTTCAGCAAGCTGGCTTTCGATCGTCACTGGGTTGTCAGACAGTATTCGTGAGTAGTCTTCACAAGATCGAGTTCCTGTCACGTGTTTCAAGAAAGGCATGACGCACCTCGGTACTGACAGAGGGTTCGTACATTGTGCTTTTCATTTCTGCCGGACTCAGAAGATAGCCTATAGCAAGGACACCTTTTACGCCGATGTGCACTACACTCAATAGGACCTATTGAAGTCAGCAGCTTAGGTTCAGCGCTGAGGCCATTGCCGCATTCAGATACTTGGCTGCCCCACGAAGAGCTTCTTTAAATGTGCCGGGTGGACCGAGAGCCTTGAGGAAAAAACTTTCCTTCCCCAACTTCAAGCCCAGAGCCTGCGGAGCCTGCGGAGCCTGCAAAAACTGCGGAGCCTGCGGAGCCTGCGGAGCCAGGCGGGAAGTTTGGAAGTTTCAATGCGATGTGCCTTTAGTTAGGGTCAAAGAGTTTCCTAGGGATAATGGACAAGAAAATGGAAACCTTTATATAATCTATATATCATGTTTGGGGGTTATAGAGGGATAAGCGGAGCAGTGAGGCGTGGATGGCAACTTGGATGGCTTTGACGAGCAGCCACAAGGTCCGCCATTAGCTTCTGCGCAAAACATGCCAATGTGATGGCATAAATCAGTGGAACAATATATCCCCTGCTATACATTGGGGTTATATATTGGGATAATGGAAAAGAAAATAGAAACAGTACAGTAGTTTCAATTTTCTTTTCAAGTATCCCTCTGTTATCCACATATTCCACATGTGCAAGCTGCTCAGGTGACCTCAGTGACTGGGCCGTTGTCCATGAGCGTGTGGCTCTACGAGCAGGGCCGAGCACTCAGGCAGAGGCCGGAAAGAGCCCCAATCCAGGGCATGCATGGAGAAGACAACTGAGCAGTGTTTTTTTTTGGTAGGTCAATTATAAGTGCACAACACAGAAACTCATCAAATCTTGGTCCGAAAACAGGGTCTTCCTTTGTGCGCGGAAGGACGCGGAAGCTCCGCGGAA